TCTTCCTGCTGCTGTCCTTGACTGCTCCTCTCCGTTGTCTCCTCCTCTTCCTCCTCCTCCTCTTCCTCCTCCTTCTCCTCCTCCGGACCCCGCCCGCCCACCTCTGATCTGTTCTCCCGTTTCCTTCCCTCCGTCTTTGCTCAGTTTACTCGTGTCCCCTAACCCTGACTTTGCTGACCCTGATCCCGATCCTGATATTCTTTAACGTGCTCTGTTGCTCTTTCGCCTTTGTTTCTTCCTTGTTCTCTGTTTTTGTCCTTTCTCTTCTCGTCGTTGTCCATTCTTCAATGGAACGTTCGAGGTTATTACGCCAATTTCCTCGAACTCCAACTTCTGATTTCGCGGTTTTCGCCCCTTTGTGTCTGTCTCCAGGAGCCGATGCTTGGTGCTCGTCCTGGTCGTTTTCGTGGCTATTCCTTTCTCTCCCCCCCCCCCAGCCGTTGCTGGGACTTCTAATTCTTCTGCTCTTTTGATTCGTGCTGATGTTCCCTTTGTTCCTTTACTTTTTCCTTCGCCTCTCCATTGTTCTGCTGCTCGTATCTTTGTGGGGAAATGGTACACAGTTTGTTCCATTTATCTCCCCCCGAGTGTCCCGCTTTCTCTTCCTGATTTGAAACACCTCCTAGACTCCTTGCCGGAGCCTGTGCTCCTGCTGGGTGACTTCAATTGTCGTCATTCTCTTTGGGGTGACGTTCTGACGAATACCCGGGGTCGCCTTCTTGAGCCGTTTCTCCTCTCTTCTTCCCTGTCTCTTCTGAATTCTGGTGAGCCCACTCATTTGGACTCTCGGACTCGCACCCTTTCTTGTCTTGATCTTTCTCTCTGCTCTTCTTCTCTTTACTTAGATTTCACGTGGCAGGTTCTTGATGACCTCCATGGAAGTGATCATTTCCTCATCCTTGTTTCCTTTTTCTCTTTCCCCTTCCCCCTCTTTCCCTAGGTGGCAGTTTGCTAAGGCGGACTGGACCCTATTTACCCTCAGTGCTACTCTCTCTGACCTCTCCCTTATGCCTCTCTCTCGCGCTCTCCTCCTTTTTCATGACACTGTCTTCAACGCTGCCCTCTGCTCTATCCCTCGCTCTTCCTCTCGGGGTCCACGGAAGTGCGTTCCCTGGTGGAATGCGGACTGTGCTCGGGCTGTCCGCTGTAAGCGTGCAGCCTGGAAGAGGCACCGCCGTAGGCAGACGACCGATTCTTTTCTTTTCTTTTGGAAAGCGAGTGCGGTGGCCCGTAGGGCCATCCGTACGGCTAAACGTGAATGTTGGGCATCTTATGTCTCAACAATTACGTCCGAAACTCCTCTGGCCCAGATCTCGAAGCGTATCCGCAAGATAGCGGGTAAGTTCGTTCCCGATGTTTCACCGGTCCTTCACCTCCATGATACTCTTGTGGCGGACCCGTTGCAGGTCGCTTCCGTACTGGGTTCCCACTTTTCTTCTGTTAGCTCTGGTCTTCATCTTCCCCAATCTTTTCTTCTTCGTAAACCTGTCCTTGAGTCTCGTCCTTTAGATTTCTGCACTCGTCTTCAACTTCCCTATAATGATCCCTTCTCTCTCTCTGAACTTCGTTCTGCCGTGGCCCTCTGCGGTTCTACGGCGGCGGGCTCCGATGGTATTCATTATGAGATGCTTCGCCATCTCCCTCCGTGCACGTCTCAGTATTTACTGAGTCTGTATAATCGGATCTGGGAGTCGTCGTCAGTCCCTGAGGACTGGCTCGATGCCGTTGTCCTCCCTGTTCGCAAACCGGGGTCTCTGGGTACTTCCCCTAAGGACTTTCGCCCTATTGCTCTCACAAGTTGTGTCTGCAAACTCTTTGAACGTATGGTTAACGTTCGTCTGATGTGGTTCCTGGAACACCATCACCTCCTCTCCCCTTCTCAATTTGGTTTCCCCAAGTTCCGCAGCACGACAGATGTCCTGGTGAACTTGGAGGTCTATATTCGTACTACTTTTGCTGCGAAGACCTCTGTTGTTGCCGTCCTTTTTGACCTGGAAAAGGCTTACGACACCACTTGGCGATATCATATTCTATCTCAACTTCATTCTTTTGGCCTTCGTGGTCATCTCCCTCTCTTTCTCCGCAGCTTCCTCTCCCGTCGTTCCTTTCGGGTGCGCCTTGGTACCGCTCTCTCTGCCTCTTTTCAGCAATACGAAGGTGTGCCCCAGGGTAGTGTTCTGAGCACTACTCTTTTTCTGGTTGCCCTCAATGGTCTTCTTTCCTCTCTTCCTTCTGGTGTCTTCTCCGCTCTCTATGTCGATGATCTTACCCTTTGCTCTCAGGGTGATGATTCGCCTCTCCTTCAACGCCGGCTTCAACTTGCAATTGATGCCGTGTCGTCTTGGGCCACCGATCATGGCTTCAAGTTCTCTACTTCTAAGACCTGTGCCATGACTTTTACGCGGAAACGGGTTGTTCTTCGTCCCTCTTTGTCACTTTATGGTCATCCCCTTGAATACAAAGATTCCGCGAAGCTTTTGGGGTTATTCCTTGACACTCGTTGGTCTTGGTCTCCCCATATCTCTTACCTCCGTGTTGAGTGCTCTAAGGCCCTTACCCTCCTTCGGGTCTTGTCCCATACTTCTTGGGGGGCAGATAGGCGCACTCTCCTTGCTTTACATTCCTCTCTCGTCCTGTCTAAGCTCGATTATGGTTGCCCTGCTTACTCGTCTGCTTCTCCTTCTACTGTTCGCCGTCTTGATGCTTTCACCATACTGGGTTGCGCCTCAGTTCTGGTGCCTTTCGTTCGACTCCCGTCCTTAGCTTGTATGTTGACACTGGCTTCCTGTCTCTCCAGGACCGCCGTGATCGCTACTGTCTTCGCTATCTTGCGCGGTCCTTACAACATCCTTCCTCTCGCCTCTGTCGTGCTTTAACTTTTACTCCTCCTGCGGTTCCTGTTCCTCTTCACCACCTCCCTCTTTCTGTCCGGTTATCTCGCCTGCAGGATTCTCTTTTCGTTCGTATTTCTAATGTTTCTCCTCGTGTTGTTCCTTCTTTGCCCCCATGGAGAGTCCCTCTTTCACGGTTTTGTACTTCCTTGACCCATATCACTAAAGCTTTTACCCCTCCTACGGTTCTAAAACGCCTTTTCCTTGAGCACTTTTCTTCTCACTCCCGCTCCGTTTCTGTCTTCACCGATGGGTCTAAGTCAGCGGACGGTGTTGGCTACTCTGTTGTTTTTCCTGATCGCACTTACATGTGTCGCTTACCTCCGGAGACTAGCATCTTTACAGAGGAACTTTATGCTGTTCTCTATGCTCTTCGTCTCCTGCTTTCTCGTTGTCAGTCTTCCTTTGTAGTTGTTGTTGACTCTCGTAGTGCCCTCATGGCTCTCGGGTCCTTTAATCCGGTTCATCCAGTAGTTGTCGAGATCCAGCATTGGCTGTTTCTTGTTCACAATAAATTTAAGTCGGTTGAGTTTTGTTGGGTTCCCAACCATATTGGTGTGTTTTTAAATGAGCGTGCGGATGCTGCCGCCAAGGAAGCTGTCCGCTCTTGTCCCATCTCTCGTAAATGAATTTCGTATTCCGACTTTTACCCGGTTATCCATTCCTCAGTCCTTACCCGTTGGCAGGCTTCTTGGTTGTCTGTTACTGGTAACAAGCTACGTACTCTTAAATGTTGTGTTTCCTCGTGGCCGTCCTCCTTCCACCGTAACCGGCGGTGGGAAACAGCTCTGGCGAGGTTGCGTATTGGCCATACTCGCTTAACCCATGGTCACTTGATGGAGCGCCGCCCTGCTCCTTATTGTCCTAGTTGCATTGTCCCTCTTACGGTCGTGCATGTCCTTCTTGAATGTCCTGACTTCCAGGACGAGCGTCTGTCTTGCTTTCCGACCGCCCCTCGCGGTCACCTGTCCCTCAATAGAATTCTTGGTGACTCGGATACTTTTGATATCGTTCGCCTTATGCGTTTTTGTTCTCGTATTGGCATCCTTGGTGATATTTAGCGCCCTCTGATTATTTTGCGCATTTGATGGTGCTACATATCCTTCCCGGTTTGGTGCCTTCTTTTGATAATTACTTACTTACTTGTCAAGGTCTTCTTAAGACCCCTGTCCTTAACGACTTTCCACGACGAGGTCTTGTTAATATTGGTCTCCTTCGTTTCTTCCCGATATTTCAGCTGTCGTACCTCCTCTCGTAGGGAATCCATCTCTGCTCTCAAAGTTCCAACTAGATTCATCAAATTTAGGTAAATATTGGTTCAGTAACAGATTTGTTGATTTGTGGAACCAATTGCCGCGTATCGTGGTATAGGTGGGGTCCCTCGATTGTTTCAAGCGTGGGTTTGACATGTATATGAGTAGGATTGGGTGGTTATAAATAGGAGCTGCCTCGTATGGGCCAATAGACCTTCTGCAGTTGCCTTTGTTCTTATGCTCTAATGTTCTTATCCCATTATGACTACTAACTGTAGGTAATGATCCCATTATAACTACTAAGGTAACAAATATAACGTCGGTTCCTAAGTAATTATGAATGAGAATTGTTAAAGTTATGAGTAATATATTGGTTACCGAGAAACTTACCTGTTTGCTTTAAATTATCTTGAAAGATCCATAATTTGGTATATCTTCATTAACAGTTGAAATGCAATTATAATTTTGTTCTCCATTGCGAATTATTTTTAGCATTTAACTTTGTAACGGTGCAGTGTCTTTTTTATATAGCATTTTTCATGGGAATAAAACAAAGTCCTACATCTGGGAGACATCATATTGGTTTAGTCATCTTGAAGAAACCAATGATTGATACGAACACCTCCAGAGTATTCCCCAAATGCTTGATAGTAGAGAGGTTACTATCCCAACGGTTATTCCTCATTAACAATCAGACATATTGACCTATATTTGTCCTTCGCATATTATGGAGTGACTCAAGCTTATTTGCTCAGAACCAGTTAACACATTTACACAAACCCACTTGGCGCTTCGCGGCTGACACACATAATTAAACTTTTCCCATAGATCAGCTGGAACCTGTGGAGGATCCATCATGCAGCACCAGAAGAAGTGTGAAGAAGAAGTGCTCCTCCAGGAGAAGTCTAAGCTTGCGTGCCCGTGTGGGTGACGTGTCAGCTTTTGTGCTCGGCACTTTCTGTGCGACTTGTTTCCTGACTTCTTCAACACGACTTTTTGACTGACGGCTTCAACACGTGGCCTCCTCGAAGACTCTCTAGGGGCTTTAAGACTTATTAAGTGTTGAAGGTCAGGTAAAAATAGGAAAACTCTGTTCAAAAGTGAATATTCCGAGGACTATTCTTTAAGGAAAGGGAAGCATTTTATATTGTGTAGAAATGTATAGTAATTTTTTACAAATGCTTAGAATATCTTTCATGAAAATGAATGGAAATTTAATATTAAATAATATTGAAAGTAAAGAATATGAAATAATTACGTACAGTGCGCGAACTCTTTTATGGGGTAAATTTGTGAAAGGAGCGGAGGCGTCTTGTTACTTAAGGTGGAGACAGCTCACACAGCGGAGGCCAGGTAATGTAAGTGAGACAATACCTGACTCAACCACCAGAGACGACGAGCTACGTCTTCATCGTCCTAATAGACAGAGGAATGTCCACCACAAGTGTACTGGATCTCCTATTTTCCGGACTAGGCGCTCAAGGTACTCGAGCTGGAGCCAGTGGTGGCAGAGATTGCTGGCTGTGCTCGCTGTATTTCTGTGGGTTGGACTCTGCCACGGCCACATCGCCCAAGATATAAATATCTGCCAGGAGCGATACAGCGGTCCTGCAGATAGAAGTGAGTACTATTGTTCATTGACTGTTACTATACAATGCGCGTGTGCGCGTGCCTTGTGTACATGATCCACTAGATCTAGTGACCTTTACATAAATAGCCTGTAGCTTTGAAGGGTTTCCATAGTTCAACCCATCCTCCTCTTTAGATAGTACTTAGAGTCCGATAAAAATAAAAATAACCTCTTCTAGTATTGTACGAGGACAGTGGCCTCATTTTGTTTCGCATGAGGATAGTGGTATCTTCTAGTATCGTCCACATATTTTATTATGTAATATTTATTAAAAGAAAAGTTACAAAACGTTCACAAAGAAACACTTTAGGGATTTTTTTTTAACTAAATTTCCTTTTCGGTAGAAGTTTCAATATAATTTGTGTTTGTTATTGAATATTGCGAAAAGGGTTCTTGCACAAATATTGTCTGTTTCTTATGCTTTTCACTCGGGAAATAAAAAATTAACTAAGTTTATTTTACAATGTATTGGAGGTGACGCCTGTTGTTGGACACGTTTTACTTCGTCTTTGAAAACGGAAAAATAATACAAAATGACAGAGATGTCACTATATGCAGATGATGAGTAACAATAACGTGGCTGAAGATATAATGACCAAACCACACACCAGAAGATGATGAGACGACGACGTTTCAGTCCGTTCTGGATCACAATTGACTTGATAATGGTCCTGGACGGACCGAAGCGTCGTCATCTCCTCATCTTCTGGTGTGTTTGGTCATCATGACACTATATAGTCCATGTTGGATGAGGTGTGATGTGTTGATCAGTCATGAGAACAGGGATAAACTTGCCCTGCATTCTCCTCGCTTGTGGGCAGAGGCAATAGGTATGATGTGTATAGGCTATTCTCTCTCGTAGTCTTGTAGACTGTAAGACGTACCAACGTGTAAACTGTCTGCTGATAGTTGGATGACAGCGTTTGATATGCAGCACTCTTGCTTTGTAATCTACTATTACTATATCTGTCGATTATATTTAGGGGGTTCTCGTGAATGTACTATAAATGCAAACAATTGCCAACATAATCAATTCATCTAACTTAACCAATCTTATCACTGACTACACAGTACTATAATGAGTGTTTATTAATTTATATCCTTCAAAATGTTAAAGTTAAAAAAGCCCTATGAGCTTCGCCTTATCTATAGTTAATGTTGTGTGTTGATACAACACTTCACTTTTTATTGTATTTCAAGTCTTCAGTAATTGGACACTTAACAAATAAATGTCTTTGTGGCATAATTAGGCATTTAATTTCCAAAGACAGATAAAGAGTCACAATAACGTGACTGAGGAAACGTTGAGTTTCGATCCGTCCTGGACCATTTTCAAGTAGATTCACAATCGACTTTAATTTCCATCTTTTTCCTTTTGTTCCTGTGCCACAAGTACCAAATAAACTGGTCTTGTTTGCCATGTTCACAGAGATTGTTGTGCCTCGTATTCCAAAACTGTTTTAACGTATGTGGTACACATGGTCTTAAAGTACTCACATTCAGGTTTTTAAAGGAAGTTCTAATGTTGGCTAACATTGCAAATTGAGCTGATGATGTCCGTTTGATGTGGCCTCAACAGTCAGCATCGGTGTGAGACCACCAGCCTGGCCCTTTTTTCTGTCATATTCCAGGGAAGTTCCTAAATTATTTGGTACTTTACATCCTGTATTCTGTTGTCGGCACCTTTTTCCATTTTATTATTATCCTTGACGGAAAATGCAAGTAGATTAGTAAGCGTGGTTCATTTAGTTGTGAGTAGTGAGTATTTTATTATTTATCATCCCAAGGTTTAGAAAAAGTTTGCAGTGTGATGTGGTCCATCACGATGGGAGGAACATTCCTTATAGTTTGTTGTTAACCATCGACCGTCAGTTTCCGTCGCCGATCCACTGTGTAACAAATTATTTTTTGTTCCTGGGAAGCAAGTGTTATCTGATTGCTTATGCCTCCAACGTCTAGAAAGTGGCTATTAGTTATTTTGCTTTGACCTTTGCTTCAGAGAACCTACAGAAGACGTCTTGAAGGGACTTGAAGGCTGCCAAGTTATGAAACAATGTATCACAGCTTTAGATAAAGATCCCGCAGCCTTCATCTACCTTCGAGACGTCTTTCCTAAGTTAAAGCTGTCTGAGGCAAAGATCAAAGCAAAGTTTGTTGGGAATAATAGCCATTTTCTTTATTTTGGAGGCAAGGGCAATCAGATAGCACTTACTACCCAGGGACAAAAAATGTTACTTTGAGAAGGCCACATGCAAGAATAATCTACATGCATGAATAATCTCCCAATTTCTACATTTTGTATTGTATAAAGTCAATAAACGTGGCCAAATTGATGACTAGTATTTAATCACTAATATTTTAAATGTGATTGGGCTTAAATCGCTAACGCATGTAGGTTGAGTGTAACTTCTACATATGTTCCTTTGCAAATAAATTTTATCTGCACATTACTAGTAATTTATTGGAGAACAAACTATTCATCGTTTACAGAGCCCAGTAATTAATGTTTACAAGCTAATGAGTTATCTTCTCTTAAACTATTCACTCTCGTATCACTGTTACCAAAACGAGCTAAGACTATCACACCCTCGATGTTTACAGTTTGTATATAGAAAAATCAATAAAAAAACTATAAAAAACTGAATGTGTAATCTCCAGACTTAATAAAGTAGGCTGAGTATTATAATGTGGGCGTGGTACCGTACTCCGTCACAACCAGTATTATAATGTGGGCGTGGTACCATACTCCGTCACAACCAGTATTATAATGTGGGCGTGGTACCATACTCCGTCACAACCAGTATTATAATGTGGGCGTGGTACCATACTCCGTCACAACCAGTATTATAATGTGGGCGTGGTACCGTACTCCGTCACAACCAGTATTATAATGTGGGCGTGGTACCATACTCCGTCACAACCAGTATTATAATGTGGGCGTGGTACCATACTCCGTCACAACCAGTATTATAATGTGGGCGTGGTACCATACTCCGTCACAACCAGTATTATAATGTGGGCGTGGTACCATACTCCGTCACAACCAGTATTATAATGTGGGCGTGGTACCGTACTCCGTCACAACCAGTATTATAATGTGGGCGTGGTACCATACTCCGTCACAACCAGTATTATAATGTGGGCGTGGTACCGTACTCCGTCACAACCAGTATTATAATGTGGGCGTGGTACCATACACCCACACAGCACTGTCTGTAGCTGAGATGTATTCGATCATGCCTTTGAGAATACGATGGAATTTTAAATAATTTTTTATATAAGCTGAAGTTCTAGAAAATTCAAAGCCTTTAAAGCTTAATACATAATGAATAAACCGAAAATCACATTCTTGAAATATCTTCATTTTGATAATTTAGACCAATATTTTAATGTAAGTGTGATCCCCTGAAACATTATTTCTATTATACCCTTGTCTTGGTATACAGTCTGCACGAGTATGGACCTGAGGAACAACATTAGCGCTCTGGACAACTTGTGTAGATGTCGCATCATCGACGGTCATCTCCACTTTGTCCTTCAGGAGCAGGTAAGTCATGTGAGCAACTGGTCTACTTGAGAAGTCCAGGTGACGGTTGTTCACAAGTTGGTATAATGAGGCAGGTAACCTTCAGAGGTTGGTATAATGAGGAAGGTAACCTACAGTGTTTGGTATAATGAGGTAGGTAACCTTCAGAGATTGGTATAATGAGAGTCAGGTAACAATCAGAATTTGGTATAATGAGGCAGGTAACCTTCAGATGTTGATATAATGACAGGCAGGTAAGCTTCAGAGGATGGAATAATGAGACAGGTTACCTTCAAAAGTTGGTATAATGAGGCAGGTGGCCATCAAATTTGGTATAATGAGAGTAAGGTAGCTTCACAGGTTGGTATAATGAGAGGCAGGTAACCTTCAGCCGTAGGTATAAGGAGAGGCAGGTAACCTTCAGCTGTATGTATAATGAGAGGCAGGTAACCTTCAGCCGTATGTATAATGAGAGGCAGGTAACCTTCAGCCGTAGGTATAATGAGAGGCAGGTAACCTTTGGTGGCTGGTATAATGAGAGGCAGGTAACCCTCAGAGGATGGTATAATGAAAGGCAGGTAACCTTTGGAGGTTGGTATTACGAGTGGCAAGTAACATGCAGAAGTTGGTATAATTAGGCAGGTAGTCGTCAGATTTGGTATAATGAGAGGTAGGTTAGCTTCAGAGGTTTGTATAATGAGGCACATAACCTTCAGAGGTTGGCATAATGAGGCACATAACCTTCAGAGGTTGGTATAATGAGGCAGGTAACCTTCAGAGGTTGGCATAATGAGGCAGGTAACCTTCAGAGGTTGATATAATGAGGCAGGTAACCTTCAGAGGTTGGCATAATGAGGCAGGTAACCTTCAGAGGTTGGCATAATGAGGCAGGTAACCTTCAGAGGTTGATATAATGAGGCAGGTAACCTTCAGAGGTTGGCATAATGAGGCAGGTAACCTTCAGAGGTTGATATAATGAGGCAGGTAACCTTCAGAGGTTGGCATAATGAGGCAGGTAACCTTCAGAGGTTGATATAATGAGGCAGGTAACCTTCAGAGGTTGATATAATGAGGCAGGTCTCCTTCAGAGGTTGGCATAATGAGGCAGGTAACCTTCAGAGGTTGGTATAATGAGAACCAGGTAACCTGTAGAGGTTGATATAATGAGACATGTAACCCTCAGAGGTTGGCATAATGAGGCAGGTAACCATCAGTGGTTGATGTAATGAAGCAGGTAACCTCCAGAGGTTGGTATAATGAGACAGGTAACCTTCAGAGATTGGTATAATGAGAGACAGGTAACCTTCAGAGGTTGGTATAATGAGAGGCAGGTAACCTTCAGGGGTTGGTATAATGGGAGGAAGGTAGCCTTCGGAGGTCGGTATAATGAGGCATGTAACATGCAGAGGTTGGTATAATGAGACAGGTAACTTTCAGAGGTTAGTATAACGAGGCAGGTAACCTTCAGAGGTTGATATAATGAGGCAGGTAACCATCAGTGGTTGGTATAATGTGGCAGGTAACCTTCAGAGGTTGGTATATTGAGGCAGGTAACCTTCAGAGATTGGTATAATGAGAGGCAGGTAACCTTCAGAAGTTGGTATAATGAGGCAGATGGCCATCAGAGTTGGTATAATGAGAGGCAGGTAACCTTCATAAGTTGGTATAATGAGGCAGGTCCTTCAGAGGTTGGTATAATGAGTGGCTGGTAACCTCAGTGGTTGGAATAATGGGAGGCAGTTAACCTTCAGAGGTGTGTATAATGAGAGGGAGGTAACCTTCAGAGGTGTGTATAATGAGAGGCAGGTAACTTTCAGAGGTGCGTATAATGAGGCAGGTAACCTTCAGAGGCGTGTATAATGAGAGACAGGTAACCTTCAGAGGCGTGTATAATGAGAGGCAGCTAACCAAATTAGGACTTTGCAGTACAACATGAATTGGAGGATCAATCCCACGTCCGGAATTCTCACTCGTGGTTTGAGAGAGTGTGTGTAGTAGAGCCACCATTTATGCAATAGTACTAATTGGGGCTCAGTGTGTGGCAGAATGAAATAATTGGTAAACTAATTAAACCTTCCTTGTCTCTGACAGTTGATTTTTTATTATTTTCTCTCGTGGAGCACGAGAGGTTAGATACCTTGGTCGTTCGAAACGGATTACAAACAAGATTTCTTGTGCCCAAGTACAGACCTCCAACAGATTTCCTTGTGTACTTTAGTTTGGAAGCTAATCTCACAAGGTTATGGGAGACTCATTCTCTTACTTTTGGCGCGCTTTGGCACTATGCAAGTCCCACGTATTCCTCCTCCCTTTCTTCACTTTGACCGTCTTTGAGAAACGTGTGCGCTTCGTCCTGTACTAGCCCAAAATTATATATCTATAACAACATAAGTTTTGTGCCTTCCATAGAACAACATAATCACCTTGCAAATTTTATTTAGTCTGAATTTTGCGCCAAAAATTGTAAGGGGTGCATTAAAATTAATTTACATCAAACTATACATATAAATCCGTTCAAATAAATGTTGTAAAATAGACTGCATTCTGATAGCACAATGGAAAGAAACATTGGTTACATATTAAAATTTCTGAAGATTGTTGAAAATTGCACCTTTTTTTCCTTAAGTTAGGATGTTGGTCCATGAAAAAAGTTGAAGCATTTACCATGTAGATTATGCATTCAAAATTTGAGAAAGTTTGGGGAAAGTCGATTCAACCAAGATGTTGTCCCCTTAAGTAAAGAGCTCGGTGATAACAAGTTTCAAGCTGCCTTGAAGATAGTGTTGATCATTGCGTCTGGTGTATAAATATGTTTAGACGTAAGTGAAGGCTTCGACGTCTAGTCATCCCCTGTGTGAGATTTTTTTTTCTTTGGCAATTATCAAAATAATTAATTCCTATTAATGTTACGTTAATTGTAACTACCTCGCAAGAGAGGCAGACCTTAAACAGCAAGAGCTGCCAGTGGCAGATATTTAATCATAAATCCCAAGATCATAGGACCGCGGGAGCAAACCGCCAGGCGAAACCACTCGGGTAACACCTGTCACTTAGGTCGCTGGCTCCTCCTAGCTGAGCTAATAGAGGGTAGCCGACGGATTCTCACTTCGTTATTTATAGAAGTGTGGTGCTGTGCAATGGACTCGAGCTTTAGATACAGACTTGATATGAACATAAGCAGGCAAAGTGTTGCAGAACATGAAATGTGGGGCAGTAATATTGGAAGGTTTGACGTAAACGACCGTTTTCTATAATATAATAATTTATTCAAAAAAAAAACCGAGCTACTACAACAAAGAGTTTACGTTACATTACAGTCACTCCAGTAGCGCATTAAAGAACATCTGTTCAACAGTCTGATGGACCCACGGTATCCTTATCCCGTCGTCGCTGACTGACTAATGACACTAACTGAACAAAGTGGTGCCCACTGGTGACGCAAGCTTGCAATCAATATTGTCACGGCTTCACGGTGAACAAATACTATAATCACAAAACTTGACTGGCGCTCGCTGCCCTCAACGAGGTACCAAGTAACAAGGCGGTTAATCCAAGAATGATAACCCCTAATAAAAATCTTACGTTAACACTTGTTTCTCAGGACAATCAACAACAAGAGTTACACTAATTGAATTTAAACAATTACGTTAACACACACGTGTCTCAACGACACTTAAATGGCATCAATAACTCGTAAATCAATTAATTACATCAACTTGAAAGTCAAGCATTCGGTGAGTAATTCCCAATTAAATACTGAATACAACAGCCTATTAATTCAGACGAGTATTGATACAGCCTACTGTCTCTCAACTGACAGTTCGCTTCCGGTCTTACGACAAGATTACCTTAACGGGGATCGACTCCTGTACCACACAAGGTTACAACACACTCCGTGTAAACAACAACATCAACACCTGGTGAATTCACTAAGTGACGGGTACTAATTCTCCTTAATTAGCTACAAGTGCTTAATCCCTGTGCCCGCAGACAGATCTGATCAGTCCAACGAATTACAACAGCTTAATTACAGCGCAATTTACTCCGATCATAACAGACCGGTTAACCCCTTACGTTAATCAATCAATTAACGACAGCTCATTAAATCTTAAACACTACGTTAGTCTTCACTTGACAATTCCTCCACTGCATGAACTTCACTGTAACTGTTGCCGTTACACGACTCTACGTTAATCACAACAATGTTCAACAAAACAACAATGACCTCGTTAAGTAAATCGTGACCCCCCCCCCCCCTCCGGTGACGTTAAATGACTTTAATTCTCACGGAATCCTTCACAGTACACAACGCATTTCACCAAAGACACAACATGTCTACAGTTTACACACGGTACAACACAGTACATCCTTGCCACTCACGGCAAAACTTGTAAATGACTTCCCCAGTAAATTATCCACCAATAAATCATATTTTACCACAACACAACAGTAAAATATGCGCTGGCCAATATAATAATAGAATTATTTATAACCTAGGGAAACCTCCCTGTTAACATTTTCACTGCTGAAAAAGGGAATCAAATTACAGCGAATTACATACACGGCATATAGAGAAAATGGAAACAAATAAAGACACTTTACTCCACCATTGAATGTGTGTCTATGTGTCCTCACACACGTCAACCTCACAATTGGGCTCAACCTCAACTTGGTGACGGCAAACAGGGTAAACTCCCACGACTTCAAATTCCATTCACCTCACCAGGTGGTCACAGGGACAGAGGACAGACGGAACACTGGGTACGAAACCAGCTTCAAAGTTTTATTACCCAAAACGGAAACAGTGTACTTACATCAATCTCGTGGGCCTGCCACACACACTCACATACATACACGACAACCTCACTCCCGCTGCTGCTGCTGCTGCTGGATGATGATGTAGGCGTCCTCACTTCATACACGTGGTCGGTTGGAACACGGGCTCTTGAACCACAGGGTAGCTCCACACACAGAGACCAGGTGGCACGGACACGCCGTCTTAAGGCTGCCAGGGGTGCGCG